GCATAAAGCCCGCAAAGTTGCGGTCACACTAATGAGGGAGCGTGGGGCAAGCTGAGGGCAAAGTACAAGCTAACAGCACCCCTCTCCCCAGGTGGGATGTGTGATGTTCCGAGGGCACTCCAAGAACAGGGGAAAGGAAGAAAGCAGACTTGGCTGATAGACATCACAGTCACGCAGGACAGGAGTCTCCTTCGGTTTATGGATAACTAGGTAAACTGCAAGAAAAAGGCAATCTTATCCATAACCTAATCTCCAGAAACCTATAGATTCTGTTTCCTAGAGCCCTAATATCACCCTCCTCGAGACGTAAGGGGGTTTAAGTGCTTGCCATGGGGGATGGGGGAAACAGAAGCAAATGAAAAATTAAATTCCCTTACTTCCTACAGCCCACTGACAAGTCCTGGAAACAGGCGGAGTGACCTCCCTCTAGGAACTCAGCTGCCTCGATGATGGCATTTTGCTGGAAGCACAAGGGAATCTTGGCTTAACATTATCCTGACCCCCCCAGGAACCTGTGAGTCTCAAACATATAAAAATTTCTTTGCAAACCTCCTTTATCTTTAACCCCCAAGTATATGTTGGCAATTATATGCCAAGCATATGGCCCCTTATATACATCTAAAGGGTCTCATGACTGAGGTTTTACTAAACAGTAATAAATGGTATTTTCCTAACAACAGCTAGCCCCTCAAGGTCCTGGAAACTTTGCTTCCAAAGTTCCTTAGAGGCTTAGGCTGTTCCTAACCCCCCTCCCGACCTGAAGGTATATAAGCAATCACTCTTCGCAACCCCAGTGCAGCTCTTCCTGCCCACTGGTCCTGTCCCTGTGCTTTAACAAAATCACCTTTTTGCGTCAAAGACGTCTTCAAGAACTCTTTCTTGGCCGTCAGCTCCGAACCCCACCATCACCCCCAAATCCCACCAATACTCATGTTAGCATTAACACTGGCATTAACAGATTAACACAAAGAGAGCTTTAAAAGGCAGATCAGGGGCGCCTGGGTGGCGCAGTCGGTTAAGCGTCCGACTTCAGCCAGGTCACGATCTCGCGGTCCGTGAGTTCGAGCCCCGCGTCAGGATCTGGGCTGATGGCTCGGAGCCTGGAGCCTGTTTTCGATTCTGTGTCTCCCTCTCTCTCTGCCCCTCCCCCGTTCATGCTCTGTCTCTCTCTGTCCCAAAAATAAATAAACATTGAAAAAAAAAAAAAAAAAGGCAGATCAGACTTTGGACCTGTTCACACCTGGTCCAGGGCCACCACCTCCCTGACCTCCCAGGAGGGCTTTTCCTTGGTCCCACCCGCACCCCCTTCTGGGCTGCCCTGTCTGCTCCGCCCACAGGCCCCGGAACTCCGGGACAGCAGCTCCAACTAACAAGCCTTGTGCTTCCTGTTGGCAACACAGAAGCGCCATAAATCTGACGAGAGATTGGGAAGGATAGATGCCTACTATTCTTTAGTTGTGTCCTTTGTGGGGGAGGAATTTTCTCTGGTTTCATTTAGAATCAGTTGGTGCAAGTACTACGGGACTGAGCCTAGACTGAGCCCTGGGTTGAGAAGCGGTTCGCTCTGTGAGGCCAAAAGAAGGCAGGACCGGTCACGCTGCACCTCAGGTTACATTTGCCTAGTGTTTTCCTTCCCTAAATCGACCAGTAACACAGTTTCTCTCTCTCTCTCTCTCTCTCTTTCTCCCTCTCCCTCTCCTTCTTATAGTGAGCTAACATTCATCTGCAACACACTTCATCATCTCTAAAACATCACATATTTCTTGACCACCCACGATATGACAGTCTTCAAAGTGATAGGGGAACAGCCATGAGCATAATATATATCCTTTTCTTCATGGAGCTTCACTCCAATTGGAGAGACAGACAATAAACAGGACAAACAAGTAAAACATGTAGTGGTACCTCAGATGATAAGAAGCAGGAGAGTGCCAGGGAGGTCAGTGAAACGTCGATACGGCAACCAGGGAAGGACTTTGTTACGGGTTACGTTGTTCCCCTCCAAACTCGTATGCTGAGATCCTACCTCCTAGGACCTCAGAATGTGACCTTATTCGGAGACTAGATCTGTACAGAGGTTATCAAGTTAAAATGTCATCATTGTGGTGTGGGCCACCTAGTGTAACCGGCGTCCTTATAAGAGTGGCAAATTTGGAGACCACCCAGGGAGAACGCCATGTGAACATGGAGACCACTGCTTCGAGCCAGGGAGAGAAGGCTGGAACAGGTTCTCCCTCACAGCCCTCAGAAGGAACTGACCCTGCCAACTCCTTGATTCCAGGTTCTCAGTCTCCACAACTGTGAGACAATAAGTACCTACTGTTTAAGCCACTCAGTTTGTGGTACTTCAATATGGCAGTCCTGGGAACATATAATATCGCCTTGCTGAGAAGACCTGAAAAAAGAGAGGGAGCCAACCATGCAAATCCCTGAGGGCAAAGCATCCCAGGGTGTGGGAACAGCGAGTGCAAAGATCCTGAAGGTACACCCGGTGTTCACGGACCAACAGGGAACCTGGTGTGGCCGGAGTCAGTCAGCGTGGCGGTGGGGGGGGGGAAGCAGAGGAGGCCAGGAATGATGAGGCCAGAACACACGAAGCCTGGAGGTTTCCTCTACCTCAAAGGAAAAACCACTGGAAGGTTTCGAGCAGAGAAGGACGTGGTCCTATTTGTGTTTCCACAAGATCATGCTGGCTGCTGAATTCCCAACAGACCAAAAAAATGGAGTAAAGATGGAAACCGGGAAATCGGTTAGGAAGTCCTTGCAATAATCTAAGCAAGATACTATGGTGATCTCCACCTGGTGGGGGCAGTGGGGTGATATGACGTAGAATAGTTCTAGATATTTTGAGAAGGCAGGTACAACAATGGCATGTACTGACATACTGGATGTGGAGAGGAGTCAAGGTTAACCCTAGGGATTTGGGTTCGAGAAACTGGAATGATACCATCGTAATTATCTGGTATGAGAGAGCCTTAGAGGGAGCAGGTTTGAAGGAGAATATCGAGAGCTCAGCTTGAAATATCCATGAGGGAGCCAGTGGGTCTGGTTGGTATGCTAGGTACACTGCACATTCATGCCTGTCCACTTCTTGGGTCTTTGCCAAGGTCAAAGGTGGAAGCTGGGCATTGTGTAGGATGGGTATGTGCTTTGGGTTGATTTAAACTAAATAACGATCCTTTAGGCCTCTGGGTCCATGCTCTAAGCATCCTTGGCACAGCCGTGTAGAATGACTACGCAGCACTGAGCCCTTCCAAGTTCCACCCGACATACACCAGCCGGTTGGGTCAGCAGGCTACCTCATGGGGCCACCAACTGAGGCCCATGACACTCTTCCTCTAAGTACCACACCTTCACCTTTGACTTCACAGATTCGTTCATTGGCTGCCTTCTCATTCAGGCTTCCCTTCCCAGAAGAAATGCAGAAATATGAGTTACATTGTTGTCATCACGATTCTGAAGGCTGTAGTTAGCCATGGTTTTGCCATAGGCGTAAAACCCATATTGTAATAGGCCCACAAAACAAGCTTTGTAACGTGGTCCCAGGCTTGCAACTCAAATTTTCCATTGTACCAACTTTATCTATTATAAGAAAGGACTTTCTTTTATCCTCAGAACAATCCTGGGAAAAACGAATTTCTATCTACAAAGCGCTCAGCCCTTTCGACGCTTAACGAATATTGTTGCGGGGGGGG